TCTAGGCCCGGCCGGCCGCCTCGGACCGCTCGCCCCCCGGGCGCCCGGGGCCCCCAACGTCTGTAACCCAGAAGCGGCGGCGCCGCCGAGGCATCCCTGGCGATGCCGACCGAGAACTAACGTCGGCGGTTAATTAGAACAGCTCGCGCTTCCCGCTCCCGGTACATGGGGAGGTGTAAATCCCGAGGAATTTAAGGGCATTAGCTACATACGTGGGAAATCCTCGCTCATATCCCATTTCTCTCTCGGAGCCTGCGCTAATGCTCCAAATGGCATAGAGTCCCAGCACTCTGCCGGCCTCGCAGAGGCTGTTGTGTCTTAAGGGATTACTGACATGAGACACGCAGAAAACGCTGGAAGTCCATAACGTAAAACGCAACACAAAGAGGCTGCCTGCGGAGGGATGGGGTAGTTTTGTTAGAGGAACTGAGGGGAGGGAAGAGTTTCGCAGGAGAAAGAATGTTCTGCAGTGTGGCCTCGCTCTAAAACATCGCGCCCCGGGTTTTTTCCTGGAGGGGAGGAGGAGGGTGGAGGGAGGTTCTGAGGGTGTCCCCGGCCCTAACAGCCCTCTGAAAAGCCCAGGGAAGGGCAGCCGGGGCCCTGGTGAGGACTCCCAGAGTGAGTTGCTAAGGCAGGCACCCACTGGGCACCCCCGCCTGGTTCCCGGCCCCCCTTGCAGGTTCACCAGGCTGGTGCATGGAGCCTTTGTCCCCGTCAAGGGCAACCACCCTTCCGACGAGTGCCCTTCGGTACTTAGCACAGGAATTTGCCAGGTTGGGACGTACCCAGCTCCCATACACCGTTCGTTTGAGAACGTTCTCCAGTTAGATCGTCATGCTGAAGAGGTGACCGACTTTGTTGAAGTCCCTGAAATTGATCCATAACTCGACCAAGTACAGGGAATGTTTGGATTTAAACCACAAGGTAGTTTCACCCTTTTATATCCAAGTATCCAGTTCTATTTGCTAAAGGGACAAAGAAATCACCTTGAACATAGGTTTTTGAAAAATCCTCCCTCCCCCAGCTGAACCAGGGGCATAACTCTACTGAGCGCCCCCCCCCCCCCCCCCCCCGCCCCAGTGAGGCGCTGTTCAGTCGTGGACGTGTGAGAGTGACGGTGGAAATCTAGACGAAGGCGCGGTTTGTCTCGCGAGCTGGGCTGGGTCCAGGGACTTGAGTTGAGCCTGAACTTGTCGAAAGTTCTGAAGACCTGTAGCTCCTCAAACACACTTCCAAACACAGCGTAAAGTCAGCACACGTGGGTGGCCTCTCCACGGTTACCTGTGTCTTTGAGGGAAAAGAAAGAGAGGAAAAGAAACCTCGTGCTCTGCGAGGTGAAGCAGGTGTTTGGGGAGGTTCCTTTCGAAGATCTCGTTCTCCTTCCAAAGACCCAAAGGAAGACAGTGGCTGGACATGCAAAGTTCTTCCACTCTTCGTAAGTAATCATAAGATCGGAGAGGGGGGCTCGTTCTCTCCCCAGCTCCGTTCCCCTTGGCTGTGTCGTCTCACTCTGTTCCTGCTCTCAGCTCGGACTCTAAGTGCCGCTCTTCAAAATGCCTTTGCCAAACCAACTTTGCTTATTTTCCTCTGGATTATTTGGAATCGTCACTTTCCTCTGGGGACGTTTTCTTTACAGTAGAGGCGTTTGGTCCTGGAACAGTCCGTGCGGCCCCCGCCCGTGACTCTCTTTGTACAGGCTGCTCTGGGAAAACATCCATGCCAGACCCCAGAGCCTGTGGTCCGTCCGGAGAGCAAGTGGGCCCAACCTCCAAAGGGGTCCGGGTTTGACTGGGATTAAGAACGGCAGTGAAACAGGGTGAGAGAGCAGGAAAGGGCCCCCCCCCCTCCCGCACCGGGGCGCAAAGGGATTCCCAGAGACTCCTTCCTGAATCTGCTCGCCAGAGTCCTCTGGCCCTGGAGAAAGTCAAGGGAGGGTGAGCTTGGGGCCAAGACCGAGGAGAGAGTTCAGGGGTGAGTTCACGAGCACAAGTACGGCTGGCCTACAGATCCCCCGTTAGAAGCTTCTGTTTGCAGGAGAAACCAGGTTAGGGGTGGTTTCCGCAGGCCAGTCTCCCAGCTCCGGAAATCTGCCCACACTCCACACTTGCCCCAGCTCTCCCAGGCTAGCGCTAGAGCTAAGCGGCCCAATGAGGACCTCTCCCTGTGGCCTGGACAGGAGGGCCGTCTCCAGGGGTGCCTCACCCACATGGTGCCCCCTGCCACCCAGGAGCTTTGCCTAAGCACAAGCTGCTGCTTCTCCGGCTGCCCCCACCGGAGCCCAGACAGGCAAGGCTCGCTTGCTGCCCAAATACCCTCCTCAGCTGAGCCTGCCTGGGCACCCACCCGCCCAGGAGGCTCTCTGCGGCACCTCAGGCACCTCTGGGGAGCTGGGGGACCACTGCCGGCCTGGGACAGGAGAGGCATGAGGCCTGGAGCCCAGGAGTGGAGGCACCTCAGCTCCCGCACAGGCTTTGGCCTTCCCCCGGCTGGCCACTGCGGTGTTTCACCCCTTCCTTCCTGGGGTCACCGGGCTGAGGCCCCAGACCCCAGGCCCAGCCTCCAGGACCCTGGGCCCCAAGTCACCCCGCTGGGTGTGTAGGCCCCTGCTTCCCTTGG